TTGGTCCAATAGTCTCACATCTAGAAATTGATTCTGATCACACAGTGTGTAAGCATAAGATGATAAATGCTTGGTTATTTATTGTGGCTTGAGAAACAGGAAGTCACTGACACTTAGATGATCTTCAGTGGAGGGAACAGTGCAGCCGAGAGAAGACTCAGGACGTGCTCCCTACGTGCCCATGTGGGGTGCTCTCTAGAATGGACTGCTCAGAGGAGGGCAGAGCACTGTACACCATACTACCCTTGCACTTGGAAGACAAAAGTAAGAATGCGTTTCATTTTTTTCTTAAAACGGCTCCCTCCAAACCACTGGAACATTAAATCAGAAACGACCAGAAGCGGCAGCCTATTTAAAATTCCAAGAACTATATCATTATTTTAAAGTAATCTCCAAGTGAAAGAAAAGTTGCAGTTTTGGTACAAATAACCCCACAATCATTTTAGGTGAGTTGCTGAAATGGTATTCTCTCCACTCCCCAACACTTACTGTGAATGTCTTGGCAACATAATATACCCATCAAATCAGGGACTTTAAGGTACACGATTACCATTTGTCCCCAGACACCATCAGAGTTTCACTCTCCCTTCCACATTGACCCATGGCACAAACGGACCGGGCTGAGATGCACGTGTCGTGTGAATTCCCCACAGCCGGGACCGGCCCCTCATCCTTCCTGCACACCCTTCACCCTTTAAGATTTTGAAGATGTCTAGCAATCAAACTTAAAACTGACAGCAAACAAGTCTCTGGTGAATACACAAACCGTGGGGATTCAACAACTCCTTACTAAAACAATGAATGGCCCAAAGAAGAAATCCAAGAAGCAATAAAAATTTCCAGGAACTAAACGAAAGTGAAAACACAACACAGCCTCTGAGACACAGTGAAAGCGGTCCTGGGAAGGAAATTCACAACTCTAAAAATCTAAAATCAGAATGCACACAAATAAATGATTTAATGGTAAAACTAAAAATTTGGAGAAACAAGAACAAACTAAATCCAAACCCAGTCAACAGCAATAAAGAAAAGGAAAATGTGAGCAGGAATTAATGAAACAAAAACAAAGAAAAGCAATACAAATAAACAATAAGAACTAATTTTTGGAGAAGATTGACAGACCCTTGGCCCAACTAACCCAAAGAAAGAAAAAGAGAGGACCCAGTCAGAATCAAACATGAAGGAAACATTACAACCGACAGCAGAGAAATTCAGACTGTTATAAGAGAATATTTTTAAAAATGTGAGTCCATGAATCTAGAAAAACTAAAAGAAATGGATGAATTTCTAGATTTGGCCCAAACCAAGAAAATCAAACCAAGAAAAGGCCAGCCACCTAAACAGACCCAAAACAAATGAGTTTGAAATAAGAATAAAACAGCTGGGCATGGTGAAGCACACCTTTAATCTCAGCACTCAGGAGTCAGAGGCAGGTGGATCTCTGTGAGTTCTAGGCCAGCCTGGTCTACACAGTGAGTCCCAGAACAGCCAGGGCTACATAGTGAGAACCTGTTTTGGGGGGTGGTGGGGAAGAATAAAGAATCTTCCAGCTAAGCAAAGTCCAGGGCCAGAAGGATTGACAGCAGAACTATAACAGACTTTCAAAGAAGATCTATAGCCAGTCCTTCCTAAACTATTTAAAAAAAAAAAAAATAGGAAGAGAAGGAGCACTCTGAAATTGCTTCTGTGAAGCCAATATCACTCTAAGATCAAAACCAGATAAAGACATAACAACAACAATCTCCAAGCCAATATCCTTGGTGAACACGGACTCCAAAGTATGTAATAAAACACTTGCAACCAGAATATAGATACACATAAAAAAGGATTATATACCATGTGTAAGCAAAGTGTGGTGAAAACTCCAATCTAGTGAGTAGGAAAAGAGTTGACTGGCGGACAAGCTGCCAGGCTGTCTCATGAGTGTAGAGAGCAGCAGCTGGGTGGGAAGGCAAGTGGATTTTATAGGACAGTCAGCAAGAGGGGTCTTGAAGCTGATGCAGACTGTTTGGGTTCATCAGGATGCACTTTGTCCCTCCCTGACAGTCTGCTGACAGAGAAGGAAAGGGGCGGCTTTCCTGACAAGCAGAAACTCTCATTAGGGGGTTTCTGAGGTTTTTGTTTACTCAGTAGGAATCCTGTTTACCCAGTAAGAACCCAACCTGGGTTAGGCCTGGGCTGTCATCTTCGGACATTGTCAACAGCACTGCCATTTGGGGCCCACTCTATGATCTAACGCCACCATCAAGCTGGCACTGTCCCTGAAATTCTGCTGGTTTTGTAAAGCCCCGAGTAGTTGAATATGTTTCCAGTACCAGACATGGTTTCCCTCTTGTTGATGTAGTCTTAAGTCCAATTAGAAAGCTGTTGGTTACAGCCAAGGTATGTGTGCCACTATTACACTTTTAGGTTATTGTACCATGCTGATCCACGTTGTGGTTCACAGGTGTTCCAGCTGAGTAGGACTGTCAATTGCTTCCCTCCTTAGAAAGCTTGGGTGGCACCTTCTGGTACCATGAAAGCTAGTCCACAGGGAGGAAGATTGCAAATCAGTTCCAGCTCAGGGTCCTGAGACCTATGTCTGAAGTGCATGGTGTCTTCAGTAGTAGGAATTACCTTCCACCACTGGGTGGGAGCAACCAACAGCAATAGCAATAGACTATATTTTCAGGGAGCCTCTTGGAACAACCCTGACCAACGACTCCCAAGAGGGCTTCTTGTGCTTGGTGTTGGGGCTTTTGTTGGATGGTCTTTGGCTCTCAGAGGGAGAATTGTCATCTCTGATGAGAAATTTTCATTTAAACTCTATGTGTATATTTGTACACAGATTTATGTGTATTATAGGGTTTTTTTTTAAAAAAAAGATAAATAGTTAATACTATGGTTCCTTATAACTTTTTCAGACATTCTCAGTGTTATTTTACCTTCCTCCTTTCTTCTGTATATATCTATATCCCTTCTATATTATATTTATAAGAGCCCTCCCTTGTCCCATTCCCCATTCAGATCACTTATACCCTGCTGGGTGACCTGCCTAGCCCTTATGGAATACTGAAAAACTGAAGACATCTTCAAATACTTTCCAAAAGCATAAATCCAGGAGCTGCACAAAACAAATCGACAGCTTAATGAGTTATCAGAAAGTATTCCTCCCCTGAGAAGTCCTAAAAACCTGGAAGTCAGGCAGATCTTCCATGCAGCATCCCCATCCTGAACCCCCTCTGAGAGTACTTGCTGTGGAATGCCTTTCAAAATGGGGGTTTGAAAGAAAATGGCCCCCAAAGGGAGTGCCACAGTTAGGAGGTGTGGCCTTGTTGGAGTAGATGTGGCCTTGTTGGAGTAGGTGTGGCCTTGTTGGAGCAGGTGTGGCCTTGTTGGAGGAGGTGTGGCCTTGTTGGAGGAGGTGTGGCCTTGTTGGAGGAGGTGTGGCCTTGTTGGAGGAGGTGTGGCCTTGGAGGAGGTGTGGCCTTGGAGGAGGTGTGGCCTTGTTGGAGGAGGTGTGGCCTTGCTGGAGGAAGTGTGTCACCATGGAGGTGGGCTTTGAGGTCTCCTTTACTCAAGCTTCACTCAGTGTGACACACAGTTCACTTCCTGTTGCCTGAAAGATGTAGAACTCTCAGCTACCTCTCCGGCACCATATCTGCCTGCACACCGCCACCATGACTCACCATGAAGATAATGGACTGAACCTCTGAATTGTAAGCCACTACCCAATTAAATGTTTCCCTTTATAAGAGTTGCCATGGTCATGGTGTCTCTTCAAAGTAGTAGAAACCATAACTAAGACAATGCCATTATACTATCAGATGTAAATTCAGAACCTGCCTTCAAATTCTTCTATCTAGTCTACTTCCCAGCAGTGAGACTTTGTATTTGTTCCTTGGTTCAAAAGGTTTTTAGCCTGAAACTTCAACTAGACTGAGCACAATGGGGACATGCCTTCATAGTAAGTGATTATCATTATAATGTGAGGCAAATGGATCAGCTGGAGGGCATTGTCATCTGGCTGCCAGATTGTCCTGAGATCACAGTGTCACCGTGAATGCTCAGACATCTAACTCTGTCATGGTAGATTAAGGAACCAAAATATTACCAAAGAAAGCCTCAGCGCTCCTGTCCCACGAGGAAAGTCACAGTCCCGAGGGACTGACAGCAGTGGGGGGTGGGGGGGCATGACAGCATGGTGAGGAAAGCTGAGCGAGGCAGGGCTGCCGCTTGTGCTGTGTGAGTCAGAGGAGAAATGCGATTTCTCTTTTTTAAAATTTAAACAACCATTCAACTTCCATTTTCTACTCATTTCATATGATTTTCTGCCTCTCTTCTAACTTATGTCTTTCTAGACCCAGAACTGAAATATTGTAAAAATGGACATAATGTTCTCTGCCCAACTGTTCTCCGAGTGCCTGAATCTTGGTAACCACACAAAAGTACAATGGATGTGCTTCATTTAGAAGCCTTATAACTCTAATGCCAGGAAACCTTTAATACATAATAATATGAGACTGCCCCCACCTGGCTGTTGTATGTATTAAGTGACAAGCACATAGTATCTTATGGGACATGTGGATGTGCAGAAAGAACCTAAGAGGTGGCTGAGGTGGACTGGATGAGTCTAAACAGAGCAGGAAATGGCTTGTTTGCAGCAGCTCACTTCCTGGCCTGATGGCCTGGGGCCACTTTGCCTTGGTGATGCGCTGAACTCTGCTCTGGTGAGTGAGGAGGTAGCCGTGTCTACAGGAATGCTCTGTGACTTCATGGCAACACCCACTGTCCTCTCCTGTTGACTGTGTGCTTGTGAGACTCCTCCCAATGTCTCATGGACTCAAGAGGAAGTAGAAATTGGAGATGACACAAGACTTTTGAAAAAGAAGACATAACCCTTTCATTTGGAAGCTAGCAATTTTGTTATTTCTGTTGTTTGTATGAAGACAGGAGGCATCCTAACTGCTTCCTGGATCCATGTATATAAGATAATGCAATTATTACTGTGTGTGTGTGCATGGTGTATGGGGGAGCACATTTGCCACGATACATGTGTGGCCAGGGAACGTTGTAGATTTGGTTATCTCCTACCTTTACAGGAGTTTCAGAACTCCAACCTAGGTCATCAGGCTTAAACAACAAGCATCTTTATCTTGCCACCCCCTTATTTAGTATTTTAAATTTCTTTCATATTACTTGATCTCTGTAAACCTGATTGCTCACAGATACAATGGTGATTAAAATAGTATATAAAGAATATAAAGGATTTTTTTTTTCAAGCTTCAACTCTATCATGGTTTCTTTCATTCTCTATCTTTTTGTGGTGGATAAGTGAATAATAACGTAATTGAGAGTGAAAGTTTAAACCTCAAGTGTCGCTTTATTGCTTTGGAATGGCCATTCTCACCGTATAGAAGTCCACTGAGATGTATAGATTGGGGCGGGGCAGGTGTCTGAATGGCTCCTGAATTAGGCAGCTTTCTATTGCTCTGATGAAACCTCATGACCAGGGCAGCTTAGAGTAGAAAGAGTTAGAGTCCATGATGGTGGAGCGCAGGCATCACAACTGGCACAGAAAGCTGAGGGTCACAGCTGGATCGGCAAGCAGAGAGAACAAAGCCCACCTCCAGTGACACACCACCTCCCGCAAGGCCGCACCTCCCTAGGCTCCCCAAACAGCAACTGGGGACCAGGGTCGAAGTGTCCACGGGAGACTATGAAGGACATCTCATTCACATCACCTCACGTCCTTAAAGCAGCTTTGTGATCGTTTTGTTTGTGGGCTAATTACAATAATGTGTTTTATTTTAAAAATAGTACCGTGCCCCCGGGTTGCAGTGAGATTAAATGCAGCAGTGAACCTTTGCTTGTTTTGAGGTGCTGAGTCAGTCCACGGGCCAGCTCCATGTGTGTGTGTGGTGCCACTAGAGGCCTGTGAGAGGCACTTGGCTCTGCCACCCGCTTCCCCCAGCAGGACATGGAAACAGTGGCCATCCATGCGGACGGCACAACTGTGACATTGCCCTTTTCTCTCTTGCCTCTGTTTCCAGTCCATCAGAGTCTCAGCTGGTGCCTCTCAGTGGACGCCCGGAGGTCTGGAGTCTGACAGGGAAGTTTTAATCCGGAGTATAACAGTCACACTCAGCTTTTCTTCCTCTTGGGCAAAGCTTTACATATGTTTGCTTTCTGGAAGAAAATGAAAGTGTGGTAGATAAGAGAACGATACTGGAATAACTAGTCAAAGTGTAAAACCTTAAGTGACGCTTCATTGTGTGCTGCCTGTCTTCTTCTGAGCTTGAAAGAAAAAGTCAAATTAAAGTAGAAGGTTGGTGGTGGGGTTCAGTTTTCGTTCTGGGTTTCAGAGTTGCTCCTTCGGGGCCCTCGTAGCCCCGAAGACAGCTCCAGTTATTCTGTTCTAGAAGTGTCTCCAGGGACCTTGTTCTGGTTTTATTCTGTGGCTGTGACAAGATAGCCTGACCAAAAGCCACTTATGGAAGGACAGGGTTTATTGGGGCTCACACTTCCGGGTCACAGTTCATCACTGAGGGAAGTCAGGGCAGGAACTCAAGCTGGATCTGGAAGCAGAAAGAATGGAGGAAGAATGCTTGTTGGCCTGTTCTCAGGCTCACAGTTAGTTTTCTGATGCAGTCCAGAGTCAACCTTCCCCGGGAAATGGTGCCTCTCACAGCGGGCCCTCCTGCATTAATTAACAATCAAGACAATTCCCCATAGACACGCCCACAGGTCAATCTGATCGGAGCAATTCCCCAGATTCTCTTCTAGGTGACTCTAGGCTGTGTCAAGCTGACAGTTAAAGTTAGCTAGGTCAGGTCTGTTGTTTCACGGAGCTGCTCAGACACAGCTTTAATCTGGATTCTTTCAACAGCTGCTTCCTGCCATGGCGCTCATGATGTGCGACCAAGGACTCGAGGAAGTCTGGACGCTTCCAGGAGACTCCTTAAGTATCATCTTTGCCCCCTGGCCTTCAGTTCTGTTTTCAGCCATTCTCTATCTGCATGCAGAAGAGTCCCTCTGGGCAGGCTGTTGAACTGCCCTAGACCCCTTCATTGGGGTCCCTTGTGGGGACTGGCCACAGCTGGTCCCATCAGATTCTTCTCTTTGACCCTTGACCCTTTCCCCCTCCCTCCCTCCCTCCCTCCAGTGTCCAGTGCATTCCATCCCCAGAACTTCTGGGTTTGAGTCTCACAGCTATTTCCCCCTGAGATGAGTATACGTGCTTTTCTCTTCGGGAAGTATTTTTCAGGACCTGTTTGTTACGCCTTGTGTCGGAAAGTTCTCAGATGTTAGCAGCTGAGTGGCTGGTGTCAAATGGGAGGGAAGGGATGAGGTATTCCTTGAATATGAAGGTATTCCCTGCTCTCTGGGGACACTTGATCAGTCCCCAAATTCTGTATGTCCTAGTGAACTTCTGTATGGTTGGACTGGTCATTCCGAAGCCATGGGCTTCACTTAGGGGTTCATACTTTCGCTATCACTGTATTTTTATATTTTTATCCACCATGAAAAAGAAAAAAAGCTATACTGTAGTTAAAATTAGAAAAAAAAATAGGAAAAAAATGTGTATCCCCTTTCACGACTCCTGTTAGATTTAAATATTTAATTAGGTTCAAAATAAATAATTTTGTGGTGACCCACCGCCACCCAGAAAGCCTTTTGTAACTCCGTGTTTTTGTTTCTCAAACGAGGACAGGAAGTTGTAAGCACGCGGAGTGGAAGGCTGTGGGAGAGAGGACTTGGAGGTCTTGGTAACGTTGGATAAACCATACATAGCATCGGAGAATGAAAAATGTTTGGTCTCATAAGAAAGTGAATGTGGGTGCTCCAGATGAGGCGCTCTGGGCAACTAATGACTGCCAAGAGTCAGTCTTTCTCAGAGATGAAGCCCCTGATTGGTTATCCAATACCAAGAGGTCAGTCCTAAAACTATACATATGAGCAACACCAAATGGACCCAGCAGGTTGTATTTAGATATAAGTAGCATTATATAATTGTAATGTTATTATATATGTTACAATATTGTCATTCATATAAACATACGTAACAACAGTAGTTAAGGAAGAAGAGGCATAATTGAATTTAAAAAAGCCCACTGAATTATTTTTCTCTAGACTTTTGAGCCATATGATCATCAAGGAAACCTATTTAAGTGACTGCATCCCAGGCTGGCCTTACACTCACTATACAACACAGACTGGTTTCAACTGGCAGCAATCCTCCTGCCTCTGCTTCCTAGGTGCTGGGGTTATAGGCACGTGTCACCACACTTGGCTCTTTTCTCTTTAAATAAGAATTTCAAATTTAGAGAGATTTCTAAAGCCATAATCTGTGACCAAAGAATGTCATATCAGCGCGTCATGGCGATAGCTCTTAGCCTGCCTCTCCCCTCACCTTGCGGCCGGGGTGTCCTCTGCTGGTCTCTCCCCTCACCTTGTGGCTGGGGTGTCCTCTGCTGGCCTCTGATCACATCCAGTCCTTGGTCTGCCATGCCAAGCACAAAGCAGCTGTCACATCTGAAATCCCACCGAATGCAATTTGTGTTCTTTGGTGACTCTGACTCTTGCCGAGCTGCGGGCTCATTACTCGGGACGTAAAGGATGATTATTCTCCGGCAGTCAGGCAGGACGCACTATTAGAAGCCTGGCAGAGAGAATGCCAAAATCAGTCACCAGGAACCGCACATCTGAAAAGTACTGCTGCTACATTTTTAGAATTTTAGTGTCTGAAATGAATAAGCTTTAAATAATTTCCTATTATTCTTTATATCCGTCATAATTCAACAGCCTTTTCTTTCTTTTGTTTTTCCTTATGGAGGGTTGAATTGTAAGCGTGTTCCACCATGCCCGACTTCAACAGCCACTTACTGAGTGTTCATTCTGTGCCCGGCATTGTGTTAGCCTGAGGCTTCCATGGCGCATCCCTCATGGCTTCTATGGCCCTGCAGAGAGGACGCTATCATTTTTTCGCAGTCACCACAACATGGGTGGCAGATCTGGTGGCTGCAGGTCCAGGGTTCTGCCAATGGCAGGAATCAGAGAGGGGGATCTCATCACGTGACGGTGCTCTACCCTGGTACCCACGGAAGGGCGGAGGTGGGAGGGGGCATCAACCTGGCTCTAGAAGGTGGGTGTGGACTCAGTTGTTAGAGACAATGAGCTGAGCAAGACGACGGCCAAGCTGGAAGCCACAGGAGCTGACATCTGGGGGAAGCGTGAGACAGGAGAGCAGTGAGGATGAAGGTCCTCTGCAGGTGTCATCTGGTGGGTGACAGTGACCAGCCACGGCAGGTACATCAGTAGGTCCCTGAGAGGACCGGAAGTGTTGTGCACAGGATCTGAAGGAGGCAGGTGCTTTGCCAGCACGTCTTCAGCATTGTGAGAAATCCCCCCCCC